AGTATGTATGTATGTATTCATGCACATACAGTGTTCAAGATAATTATTCGTACAGTGATTTATTTAAGAACGTTTGCAATTTTTTTTATAATAATTTTTTTCGTTAATTTTTAAGAAAATATAGACTCTAACCAAAACTAAATAATTTAATTTAATTTTTAAGATTTGTAAAGAGTTTATAAATCTAAAAAAAAAAATTTATAAAAATTTCAAAAATTTGATTCAGCATTTTTATACAATTGCGTATGCAGTTTTGTATATTATTCAATTTTAGTATAACAAAGTCCACCTTTTAAGTGTCTATAAAGTACCGTGGATTTTTCAGAATTTCCCTACCTACTCACGAGTGTTGGAACAAAATGCGAAAAAATCTCAAAAATTAACGGTCATTTTTATCGACTTGATACTTGCACTTTATTATAATGAATTTGAATGAGCTACAAAACTGCAGAGTACTGCTGAAAGTACTGCGGTAGTAGTATTTTACTACTATTTTGTCATTTATACTCCCGTACTACCCAAAGACCGATTCTACTACTATTTTGCGAGATAGTGGACTTTTTTAATAATATTTATTTAAAGTAGCTCAAAATATATCGTATTAAACGCTGCCAGAGCACTTGCTTGCAAATATTTGCGATGAACTTTTCCTTTCATCGAGAGCTCACTTTGTGATCAATCTTCTTAAGCCACATTACAGAATTTTTTAAAACTTATGACTGCAGTAATGAACTTTTATCGGGTATAAAACTCTTGCGCTTTTAACTCTTGGAGGAAAAGCTCTTTTATTGGTCCGAACTAAGGCAACAACGCGTGCAGGAATCAGCACTTAGGTCACACTTATACTTTCCTACGAAGGTGGGGCCGAAGCACAAAAAGTAGCCTGCCGTCTCATCTTCGACAAGACAAGACAAGACAAGTCCCAACAAAATCAACGTTGTAGAATTTTCTCAGAAATGTGATAGCATTCTGTCCTTGGGCATTGAGAAGCACATCTACATCTCTGCCTTCAAAATATTCCACCTCGGTATACTCTGTAGCAATAACGCCACCTATTTCTTTTAAACTTATAATTTGCCTTAAGTTAAGTTGGAAGATTTATACAAACATATGGGGCACACTCTTTAAAATGTCAAAATACTCCCCAAATGATACGTTTTTTACTACTCCGAAAAAAATAGAAAACGGCAGCACTGAAACTGCATACTCAAAATGTTTCTAAAATTTTTTGAAAATTTAATATATATGGTTTTTGTTAGAATATGAACTATATTTTTGTGTAAAATTAACGAAACAAAATTACAATGAAAAACAATGCGAATATTAAAAAAAAAAATATAAATTTACTACGCTACTCCGCTTAACCCACTATCTACTTCGATTTTCTCAATAACCATAAAAAGGGAAGTTGAATTTTCCTCCGTTTTAAAACTTACATATGCGCTTTCTTTAAAAAAAGCATACCCAAATAAATTCAAATAATTTTTAAACGATTTCAAAAAGGATACATTTTTATATAAAAATTGAAGTCAGTTTTGTTTATTGATTAAAATTTACTTGTTTATGTATCTTATATAAATACACATGTATAAATTTTATCAATGAATATAAATGGTTGAACCGTAATTTGTAAGAAAATTTTTGCCCACTCTTTCGCTGAAGAGAAGAGAATAACAATATCTTTATACCTTAACTTGGCTCCTTATTTCCTTGTTGCCTATTGCATACGTAGTACAAAAAAATGTACATAAGCTGGTAAACAAGCATGGTATTACCCTATGTAGCAAAAACAAAAAATAAAAACTGGGCAAAATTTGCTTGAGAAAAATTTTTCGAAGCGAATATAAAGCCTTTATAAAAAGTGGTTTCGTTCGGTTAGGAAAAAATATCCACACAATTCTGGAAAATTTCGGTTTGGTTAATTAGTAGAAAAAAAGCGGTTCAAACCCGGTTCGCGTTCCTGCTATTTAAAAGCTTACCATCATAAACTTTTACTGTGTGTATGCATAGTAACCGCAGCTTAACCTATTGCAACTCAGTCAAAATAACTTAATTTTATTTCATATGTGCACTAGGGTGGTCCAAAAATGAATGCGTCGGAATTTTTATGCTCTCACCCTCTAGGATTGTTCTATAGCGAAAAAATATACCTATTTTTTTATTTTGAAATCAAAAAATATTTGGAGGTCGCTCAAAGCGCTCAAAGTGTTCCATGTATTTTATATAGGGAAAAAATACTTTTCGTAGAAATGGTATAGAATTCTTGAAAATCAATATTTTTGGACCGGAAAACTCTATTTATCTGCAGGAGATTCTCAATAATATCACCCAATTATTTATTAACCCATTTTTTCATCGCAACTATAATTTATAGGTCCGCCAAAACCACTAGAAAATGCCAGAAAATGCAATGGGAACATTAATAAAAAATCTTTAGTATTAAAAACTTGTTAAATAAACAATTGGGTATTGTTATGGGAAGTCTCCTGAAGAGAAGCAGAATTTTCCGAGCGAAAAATTTTGTTTTTTAAGAATTCCATACCATTTCCACGAAAAGGTGTTTTTTTTTGCCATATAAAATACACGGAAAACTTTGAGCGACCTCCTGAGTATTTTTTGAATTCAAAATAAGAAAATAGGGGTATACCATTTTCGATATAGAACAATCCTAGGGGGTGAGAGCATTAAAATTCCGACTTTACTAATTTTGGACCACCCGAATCTGCACACATGCATGCATACATATGAATGTCTCTGGGATTGGTGGCACACTTTCTTATTTTCATTATACTACAACTATTTGTTCGTTGAAAAATTCAACGTTGTGAAATTAAAGTTTTATCTGCATGCCACTGTGTGCACAATATACACAATACATATGTACATATGTAGTACATACTATGTACAAACTTCCCAACAAATATACAAATACTCATAATCGAGTGACGTTTGGGCTGCAAGTTGTTGCCATGGATGATCATGCCATTCCAGCTTAGGGCTGTTGCTATGCGAAGCTTTTTTCATTCAATTTGAACCATCGGCGTCATAGTCGGTATGCGCATACAGCTGCGAGCAATAAAATAGTAGCAAAGCTCAAAATGATATTCTCTGCAACTTATGTTTATTTTTTATTTTTAATGATTTTCATTTAAAATGCAGTTTGATCTATAACAGAAATCATATAAGTAAAAGTTTCAAAGCTTGCACAAAGTTCACAAAAAATAATCAAATGAAAAAAAAAATGTTCATCAAACTCTCAAACATTTTATTCGGAATTTTTTAGAAAATTTAAAAATTTTTTTGAACCTTTTGCAAGATTTGAAACCTTTATTTATGTGGCTTAAGTTTTAGATCGAAGTATATTTTAAATAAAATTATTAAAAAAAAATAAAAATTTTATTGCTCGCAGCTGTACATATGTATCTAGTACATCTGAACATACATAAATTTGGATGTGTTGTAGCTTGACAATTGCCCGCAAAATTTGGAGAGCCGGTCTTTAAAATTTGTGAAAGACGAAATTTCGTACGTTGACTTAAATAATTTCACATAAGTACTACAGTGACTCAGAAAAATTATGACTATTATAAAGAAAAAATTTGATAATTTTTTTTAAGATATCAGGACTCATTTTTTGAAAACGACCTGCAAAGGAGCGCGCCAACACGGCTAACAATTTTGTGACAGCATTAGTAAAAATTGCCATTAATTAATTTTTTGGAACATAGTAAAGTTAGTAATTTTTTTTATCAAAATAAATTGATAATAACTTTAATATATGCGTTGTGGAGGATCTATAAAATACTTGATGTGCAACGAACACACATTTAAACGAGATACTAAGAAATTGATACTGGTGGATGTTCCACACTAGCTCTTCAAGCTTCATGTTAACGTGGCCTACAGCCAGTGTTGCCGTTTCCCCCCGTTGTGTAGGGAAATTTGACCCTTTTTAAGCGCCAATACCCTTTGACCCGACTTTTTGAAAATTTTGATTTTATCATGTGAGCCTTTGCCCCTTTCCAGAGATTTTTTTAGGAAATGTTAACAGAACCATGCTTATTATTAGAGAATATTTCCTCCTGTAAGTATAAAAAAATGCATCACTTAAAACTGTTAAAGGAAATACAACTCTTTTCCTTGCAGCAACTGGAGTTATGTGTATGTTTGCAACCCAGTTTTGTGTACTGACTTAACTTCTTCAATTTTGGCCATCGTATATTCGGTACGAGAAGAAATACCAGGGATTTTGTCAGCCTTATTCAAACCTGGAACTAAAAGACGTGGGATTTGCTTGATCAGCGATTCTTAAGCCAATAAAGCATCATATGACTTCGCCAGTCTCTTCACCAACGTCTCGTTTTCGTTGAAATTCTTTAGAGCAGTGATTCCCAAAGTGGTCCACGGGAGACTCAACCAAAATGGTTGCTTGATAGCCTATTTATTTAACCTTAATTTTTTAGAGTGGTGTATAGTGCTCTTGACGCACTAGTGAATTTACTGTCACTTTGTGTCATCATACGTGGGGAAGCCTTAAAGGCCATCTGAAGACTAAAACGAAACGGATGTTGGTATAGCACTGAGTGAGGCGATGCGGAAATTGCCGCCGGCAGATATTTCAGCACTTGTGTCTTTTTAATGCTACAGGATAGCACGCCACCATTACCTTTGTTGAAGAGAGAGAGAGAGAGAGAGTTCCCTGAAGGGGAATGCTGGTTTAATTCCAGCTCCAAAACTCACTCATGGTCAGGATCTGGAGTATTTTTCGAAGCTAATGAAGATAAGTTTCACTTTTTCTCTTGGGGAATATGCTTCCGTCTTCCAGGCTGAACTATTTCCAATCCTCAAAGCGATAGACCACGTGGTGGAAAATAGGTGGAGGGGAAGGAGTTTACGTGTCTACAGGTACAGCCAGGCTGCCCTTAAGGCATTGGCCAGCCCTCTAAGTACTTCCAAACTAGTTCGGCAATGCAAGTCTCGGCTAAATTATGTTGGTAAAGATAGCGAGCTTGCTTTACTCTGGATGCCGGGCAACACGGGGGTGCCTGGAAATGTGACATCTGACCCTTTGGCCAGAGATGACTTAGACCAGGCATTCCTCGATCCGCAACCAGTTATAGCACTCCCCACTTTGACCATCGAAGCCACAATCATAAACTGGGTGGATATTTTGCTCAGCAATGACTGGGAGCCCTAGAGTGGATGCAGGTGGGCCAAACTCATGTTGCCTGCTGTCTCAGATGCTCTATCTAGTTTTTTCCTCTCACTGAGAAAACGGGACTGCTGGCTGCTCACTTCAAGTGGCACAAACACCTGACTGTGATACGCGTAAATGACAACTCCATTTGCCCATCCTGGTTTGAAGAGGATGAGACGGTAGAACACTTCTTGAGCTTCTTGCTTACTTGTTTGTTTATCATCGATTTATCTAGATTCGGTGTTTTCTTTTTTGTCAGTCTCTGAATTTGAAGTTTGGCATAAAAAGCTTTGCAGTTTTGTTCTTTCAAGTTTTGTGTTTCAAAAATGCGAGTGACGAATACTTTTCGCATCACTTTAAAACTCGGAGCGATAAAAATAAAACTGCTGCCAGCAACACAAATAAACTATTTGACAAATACATGACATGCCAATTCATGAGTGAGCCGAACATGTGAGGAGTTTATTTGGTGCTCTTAAAAAATACAACTCCTCAGAGCGAGATAGTTTGTTCGTGGCTTTACGAGCTCTGTTTTTTGAAACTTACTAGTGTGTAATCACATTATTTTAATAAATAGAACACAAGAAAATATTTTAATTATATTTTTGCCACTCTGAATTTAGTTTTGTAACCTTCACATTTTTTGATTAGCTTTGGGAATATGTTAGAAGTGAGCACCCGAACCAGTTAAGTTTTGAAAGGGGTCTACGAGAAAAATAAGTTTGGGGGAACCACTGCTTTAGAGCTTTAGCGACTATGCATTCACTTCTATTATCTGTAGCCTCATCTAGGGCTGCCAACTATCTTTACCTATGAATTGCCATATTGGAATGAAAACTATGGGTATCTTTCCCGTTTTGCATAAAAAAAAAACAGTTCAAAATTTAGTTTAGAGTTTACGAATATTTTACGATCTATTTACTAGGTATTTGGAATGTTTTTCGACGGATGGCGGATTAAGAATCATTTAGTAAAAAAGGTTTACATGCTTAAGCTTAAAGTCTAGTTCTCAAGAAAAATATAAGAAATTTCTTGTGAACTGCATACTGATATAAGGAATTTTGAAATAAGAAAATTACTTTTTAATAATTTGAGCGTATTTTATATGATTTATTTATTTTTTTTTTTGATTTTCTTGAGAACTGGATACTATGCTTCAAAGATTTCAGCAGGACTAAGTAAATAATATCTAATAATGACACGAGTTTCCGTTTATGGGCTTTTCCAAGCAAAAGTGGTTGGACTATACCTACCGGTCGGTTGGTAGTTAAAAATTAATAAAAACTTCGTTTTTTAGCCGCCTGTTATTTTAATTTGAATATAATAAAGTTTTAGCGGTCTTAAAAGTGGGCAACTAAAAATTTTCTAAAAATTTCCATTAAAAAGTTTGTTGAATTTTTTGAATTTTGTGTAAAATTTTAAACTTTGATTTATGTATGTAGTTTTGGTTAGACCATGAACAATTAAAAACAAAAAAAAAATTTGGGCATTTAAAAATGATGTAAACATTTTCATTAAAAAATCTGTTGAATTTTTTTGAATTTTGTATAAAGTTTTAAACTTGGTTAGAGCATGCAAAGTTTTTTATAAAAAAAATTTTACTGGGAAAATATTATGAATATTTAAAAAAATTACTCTGTGCATTTTCTTAAAAAAGAACAGAGAAAAATATGAGAATGTGAAAAGCTTAAGATGCTGTCCGGCAGAAAAAACGTTTGAAAATTTTCCCGCACGTTTGACGGTACTATGACATAACCCCAAGTGGCATAACTCAAATTTTAAAATTAGGAATTATGTCACTCCTTATACAGTGACAGAAAGCCAATTTTTTTCTCGGGGTTATGACACCTCTTATAATTATGTTACTTTTCAGTCTAAAGCATATTTTCCAGTTCTCATGAAATACAAAAAAAAAAAAAACTATATAAAACCACTCTCAAGAAATGAAAAACAAATTTTCTATAAAATTTTTTTCGGCGCAAAAATACTTCCGCCGCTCTTTTCCGGCAACACAGAATTGAGAATTCTACTTAGTAAGGGTTATAATACCTAAACGCGGCTGAAGGCCTTGGATAATCGAGCTATTTTTGGAACTCTTGGGATTTGCCGTGAGGCAAAAATTAATGAATATTCTCTCAATAATTGTTGCATTAACAGCAAATTTCATGAAGTCAATTTAAGTGAAAAATTATTTTAATTTTTTGAATTTTATATGGAAATTGACAGAAAATCAGAAACCATTTTCCATTTAAATTGCTGGTGAAACCGACTATAAGTATGTATACATATAAACATTTTTCGCACACATTTTCGACCTTCTCAGACAGTGTACACATTTTTGGTTTACAATATAAACTGTTGAGTAGGCTTACTAGTTAAACTGTAATGCAAATTCTGCAGAATTAGTACAAAATTAGTAGATTTAATTTCTGAAAAGTACCAAGACTTTACAAATACATAAATAGAAATGTGCTTAATTGGACAATAATAATCTCTAATCACACAAACAAAATTAAAATACATGCAGACGAAAACAAATAATTGGCAACAATTCAATTAATCTACTTGCGTTGGCGGTATTCAATGCACTTGATGTCGACACTACGAAAAAAAAACAACGAAAAAATACATACATACATACATACAAATATGAACACCAAATAAATTATCCTGCTGCGTAAATTTCGCATTTCAACAAGCACAGCTACAGTTTTTTTTCTAACTTTCATAATAAATATAGCGGCCTTTTAGGCGCGCAAGCTGTGTGTGTGTGTGTGTGTGAGCTTTAGGTATAATGTTATTGTGCCTGTGTCACATGAATTTCATATTTCATTAAAGTTCTATTATTACATACTTTGTATAAATATTTGCTGCTATTTTGCGTGATTGTTTTGCTATGAATCCTATTTTTTAGCTGATATCCTACGGTGCCTCCTGTATACAATTGGAATAATCAACTGTTATTTGAATTATGTAGCTGCTGGAGCACATTACAACAACTGATTGCTCATGCTGTTCATAAATTTGCATATATATATATATATATATATATATGTATCGTACAAATGCTTTTTTTATCATCGAAGAAACTCCTCAAGTCCAGCAGAGCTGCTCAGCTCATTAGTTTGCCAAACACATTACCTGCTCTGTGTGCTTTGAGCACACTAATGCTAATGTTTGTGTAAATACATTCGTCTCTCTCTATATTTATTTAAGTTCATTTTTCTCTCTATCTTTTGGAGCTTTTGCCTCGTCGTTTCTTCCCCCATCGCTGACTCTTACCGGCAATTTGTAGCTGTTCTATGATCTACAGTCGTGCCGAGTCCTCGTTTCGTTTGTTAACTTAATTTTTCTCACTTCATTTTTTTTTTCAACTCGTTTCTGTTGATTTTGCATTTTACTAAACGTTGAGTACGGAATGCTTTTTACTGTTGCCGGCCGGCATTTGTACAGCAATCACCGCTAACCGCCCGTCCCGCAGTGGTGCAAGTATGTGTGTGTTGCCAGGTGTAACCACAACTGTTTGTATTGGAATATGCAGTGGAATGTCAAACACTGGCTTTAACCTGTAAGATATGAAAGAATATATTTACATACATATATTATATGCGAAAAGTAAATAAATAAGTATGTTTGTATTTACATATTTACATACATAAATGAAGCAGTGAGTAATATGTATGCAATTTTATGTAAATGCAGCCAGTTTAAGCTGCATTTTAAGCTGCCTTTTTCACGTGCCGATCTTCTAGTCGATTTGTGTCCTTCAAAAATAATCGGCGCGTGTAAATGGCAATTCAACCAGTGACCGTAACTGTTATGCTTTTGTCAAAAAAAAGTCGATAAAGAATCGTAATTTTTTCAGCGATATGTGTTCGTATAAAAATTAAGAGTTAAGGCGGATCAACGTTCTAGTTCCGAACTTTTTCTTGCAAAGAGAGAAGCACAACAACAATCACAATGAATCCGCTTTTAAGATCTGACGTTTATTTTTTCGGTCAAATATAACAATTACAAGTTGACTTAAATTTTTTTTACTATGAATAAGAATTAGCTTTTGACTTCTATTTTATTTTTTAAATAACAGTTAACATTTAACGTTTATTTTTTCGTTAAAAAATAACAGTTACTATCGATCTTCATATTGTTTTATTGCATTGTTTATTGGCTTATCATTGTACAAAATATCTTGTTTATACGTAGCAACGTTTCTAACTTAACTTTTAACTTTTATTTTCGATCGGAAAAAATTAATAAAATTGTATTATTTATTTTTGATCGATTAAATAAAAGTAAAATTTTAATTGTTTTTTTTTTTATTGATAAAATACAGGTAAAAAATAACGACTAATTGTTGACTTTTTCGAAAAATGTTAAAAAAAATTTAAAGCGTTTATGTTTAATAATTTGATGTTGCTGTAATTCTCTAACAAAATAATAAACAGTAAATAAACAATGGAAAAATAGCCTAAACTGGTCAAAATGTTGTGTTCCTATTAATTTTCACATGACTGTATATTTAAATATAAATTCTTTCCGTGTGACTTTTTGATTTGAATTTTCGAAAATAAATCATATTTTTGATCTCTGCATACAACCGGTCGGGTCGCAGTCGACAAAAATTGGCTGATCCAAAAAAACTTGTGCTCAATTTTTGCCAGTCGACGGCAACCCGAAGCAACCCTGAAAATTGATATGTACATACGGTGCCGAGAATATAATTAGGGAAGAGACATTTTAGCAAGTTTTGGCTATTTTTCTTTGTTTAAAAAATGTGTATTCTTTTTTTTGCGAAAATATAGCTCACTAACTAAACAGAGCCATGTACATCAAAATTTCAAACTTTGTGCAACATTTATAAAAATTCGACAAATTTTGAAACCTTTTTATCAGTTTTTTTAGAATTGAAGTATGCAGTTTTATAGCCCATACTCAGAATTAGTCTAAGAAATCTAATTAAAAAGCTCAACAATTTGATGAAACTTTGTCGAATTTTCCTA